GCGACTAACTTTGACTACCTTGAGACCTTTTTTGCTCTTGGTCAACTGTGACGTTGCTCTTGGGTCATGTGACGTCATTTAAAGTCACCAAATGTTTTTTGCTAATAACTCCTTACAGGTTTGAGATACAGCCGCGCGGATAGGCTCATTGTGTTCAGCTCGTCAAGGCCCATCGAATGTTATATATGATGACCTTAAGGTCACGTGACCTAAGGTCAACTTTTGACATTGACCTTTCGAGGTCAACATACACATGTTTCGATGCGGATCGACGAGAGGATCACGATGGTGCTATTAGTTTGTTCCTAGCTGGGATACTTCGAAAGTTATTCGAGAAAAACTTCATATATATGTAGTGCCGCCATTTAGACTTTCTTTTTACCCCTGTGACGTCATCTTTGACCTGACCTGAAAATGACCTGGGTAAAAATTGTAGACCTTATCCATGTGTACCCTGTGCCGTTTACCGCTTGTCGCTATCTTGCTTTGTTCTCGAGATCTCGCTGTCGCTCCCGCTCGTAACAATGGGAAGGTCATAAAAATGACCTGACCTGAGGTCAACGCAGGCCGAAAGCCACTTTTTTATTATCGCATATGAATGACAATTGATAAGGCTTTAATCGTCATCAGACAAAATTGCGACTTTCAGTTGGGAAAATATCAAGGTCACTCTTCGAAAAAAAGATCAAGATGTCACGTGATCAAAATTTTCGAAAATCGAAAATCTGAGATAGCCAAAACGTTTGTTGGTTGATTGCGAGTTGAACCATATCAATTGTTTACCATAGAAAACCAATAGTTTCTGAGTTATAAGCCGCCAAACATAGGGTTGCAGCGTGACCTCCAGGAACTGCCCGAGGCTATATCTCGGAAACCGTTGTTCGAAGAAAAAAATCCTTGCCACAGCTGGGTTCCCCGCCCATCACAACCCATTAGACCAATTTTAAGCAAAAAATAAAATATGCGGGTGTAAATTTTAAGTTTTTTTGGTCGATCTATCGTGGAATGCCCCCGGTAGTAGCCCTATCTTCCCGTATCTACTCAAGCGGACATAAGACACGGTTCGCGTCGCTCGGTAATAAATCGAAATGTTCAGCAATGAATAGCAAATTAGGTGTCAGAAAAATTTACCTTAAGGTGTTTTAATGACAAAAAGTCTGGCGTCTAAGCATCGGGTGCACTTATACCTACCAACTAATATAGTCAGGGACAAAAGGGCCGGCTTTTAAAAATTAAAATAGCGTACGTAAAGCTGCTAGACCTTTACGCCCCATTGTCTGATCATGAGTTAAATCTTACGCCCATCCCATGCTTATTGCTTACGAATCGTGCACGTATATCTACTGTATAGCACCGCGAAGGCCGCACCAAAGGACACGTAGTGTCGTGTCGTTTCAAGGCATCTACTTGCAAGACATTTCACATTTTCCCCATGCCTGCATACTACGACCCGAGTTAAATGGACTGCAAGAAAGACTTTGGGTCCTCAGGAACATATTATCGTAGTTTCCTGAAACCAGCGGGGCGAACGGGTGAAATTTTATACAGATGCCCGTACGTCGCACTCACTGCGGGGGGGGGGGGGGGGGCAGGGGCCGTCTGCCTGCGGTTACACGGCGCGGCGCAGTTTACCTGTGTTGGACGGCTGAGGAAGTACGTTCGTCTCACTCCAGTCTCCTCCGGCTGACAACAGAGGCCGGCCCGCTGCACATCCGCCGGCTCCGGGTGACCGCCCTGGCCAGCTCAGCTGCCCCGCCGACCACTCCCAGTCAGGTGCACCGGCGCCGACCACGGCCTGCCTCGCCCGGCGCGGGCCAAGGACGCCTGCGAGCGCCGCAGCACAACACAGCCGACTGGCTGGCGGCGGCGGCGGCGGCCCGACCGGCTGGCCGGCGCCGCTCCGCCCCGCTGGGCAGGGGGAGGGGGAGGGCGGCCCGGCGCGGTGCCGGCACCGACACTGCCCGACGGTCCCCTGCTGGCCGGCTGCCCGCGCCGTGTGCCCCAGGGCAGGAGGTACGGCGGCCAGGCACACACCGTGTGATGGCCTGGCCTCTGACCACACCCACTTCGCGACGTCACTCGATGCGGCCGGGGATAGCGTGGCCGGCGTAAAAGGGTCCAACATCCAACAAATTTGCCTGCATAATTTTTAAACGAATAGTGTTTTAAATACTATAATGTTAAATACACCAAGCGACTTCTAAATTGTTTGAATTTCTTTATATTTTTCGTAGGTCATCTCATCTCAGGTCGGGTAAAACGGCCATGTTAGTAGTGAAGTGACCTCACCTAAAGAGAAGTAGGTAAATGTGTTCGCCAAAACTATTCAACCGAATAAGGTAATTTCAGCTATTGTTATAAGGATGTATGATAGGTAACCTATATCTATCTTTAGCACAATTGTTGAACGCAGGCATGCTCATTTCGATAATCGGCGCTTGCCGCTAATCGGCTAGTGCGACCGTTGGTTCCAAACAACCGAACCGTTATGCCCCTCCCGCGCCGCCGGTGGACGAGGGAAGTTGGTCCAACGCCCCCGGCCGGGCCAACATCGGACCCGCGTCGGACAGAGTCAGTGACCTGACCCCAGGCTGACCGAAGTCTTGACCCGGCGAAGGATGGCGCGACTGGAGGAGTTCAGCAGCCAACAGGGCCGGGCTGACAGAGGATTGCTGACCATGCGGAAGCCGCAGAATCGATAAAAACGTTAGCTGGGAGTTGGGAGTAGCACTGGGCGGCCGCTAGTCGACCTTGAGCTAGCTGCACTTTGTTTTTGGACACTCGGTGTCGGCCACCGAGCCGTAAACATAGAACTCGCCCGCCGACCCACTAAACCTCTGTCTGAGTGGACACAAACAGTCGCAAGGCTGCTCTGTCTCCACTGCAGCTGTCACTTAGCGTTTCTGAGACAAAAGGGCGAATGCCTTTTAAAAGCTGCTCACGATCGTTACAAGAACGACGCTACTCAGAATGACGGGAACTACCGTCGGATTTAGACGCTCATGCTGCCAAATGAAGGTCCCAAGGGTTGCTACACGACCGACAGCGCAGTTTATTTTTCCCCGGACCAGACCGAGCTGAGAACCACCAGCTCTACCTTTTTCGAGGGAGCACAAAAAAATAACATTCAAAAACTTCATCGCTTGTCACCAACACGACACAGCTAAAACTCAAGCATACGCAGCGTCGCAGCGAAATGGTTTGAAACAAACACAGATGACAAATCCGAAAATACATGTATGCATCTGCGGATAGCATTGCCAGGGCAGGTCGATTTCTTAGCAAATGCTCGAGGGGAATGAACCTATCAGTGCCCATCATGTGCTACCACTCCCTGTTCTCGGGGGCGAGGTGGCTGGAGAACTGCACCATCTACCTTGCCTCAGATCTCTAGAACGGGCTGAGAGCAACAGGCCAGCCCGGGCGGCGGGCGCTGGCAGCCCCGGCCTAGCAACCTGGCGGCGGGCCGGGCCGGCTCCGGAAGCCAGCCTACCACAGACAGCCTGCCGCCCGGCGGCCGGCGAACAAAGCCGGGCCAGCTCGCTCCCAGAAGGACCCCGTGACGCCGGGCTCCGGGGACGGCAGACCAGTTCAGACCGGCCAGGGGTACCGGAGACGCCGGCTGTGAGGTGCGCATAGCAGACCGGACGGCCTGTGACGGCGACAGTGGCCTCAGGACCAGAAATAGTTACAGGGATAGCCACTGAGTGGAATGGATCCCAGAAACAGGTCAACGGGTCTGAGGGTTTTATCAATCTTCTCCAATTGAACGAGATTGGACCTCGGGCGCCTGGTCCTCAGATGCTGAGCTTGGGCCCTTCCAACTTAGGTTAACCCGCGCACCGACGGGGGTCTGCGCCAACTTCGCACCGACGGGGGGGGGGGGGCGGATGACCGCCCCCCCTGAGATCTCGAGAACAAAGCAAGATAGCGACAAGCGGTAAGCGGCATCGGATACGCACGGTCAAGATCTACAATTTTTACTAAGGTCATTTTCAGGTCAGGTCAAAGATGACGTCACAGGGGTCGAAAAATTCAAAATGGCGGCGCTAGATATGGAGAGTTTTTCTCGAATAACTTTCGAATTAGTCAAGATAGGAGCAAACTAAGGGCATCATCGTGATCCTCTCGTCAATCCGCATCGAATGATATATATGTTGACCTCGAAAGGTCAAGGTCAAAGGTTGACCTCAGGTCACGTGACCTCGAGGTCATCATGTATATCATTCGATGCGTCTTGACGAGCTGAACACAATGAGACCATCCACGCGGCTGTATCTTGTTCCTGTACGGAGTTATTGGCCAAAAACCTTTGGTGACCTTTGATGACGTCACATGACCTCACAGCTGCCCAACAGCAAAACAGACCTCAAGGTAGTGAAGGTTGATCGTATATGAAGTCATGTATGGTATATGGGGCCATTCCGACCCGTTTTAGTGGTAAAAATAGGGAGTTGATTTTTCCCCCATTGACTTATAATGGGGAGGTCGCGAAATTGACCTGACCTTAGGTCACCGATATCAAAATTCCGAGATATACAAATTGTAGCTACTAATGACCTTATAACATCCTGTGACTTTCAAAGGCCTCCGACATCTACTGTAGCTCTGGCACGGTGACAAAGTTGCAAAAAAGTGACTTGAGGTTGGGTCATTCAAAGTGACCTGGTGACCTGACCTTAAAAGGTAGGAGGTTCAAACTTGCACACCATGTGTAAAATTGATGAGGGAATAGTCGTACCAAATTTCGTGGCGCGTAGCGCCGCGGTTTTCCCGCTATTCGCGAAAAACCTCAAGGGGCGGATATCCGCCCCCCCCCCGTCGGTGCGCGGGTTAAGTGCTCTTATGCGACTTTGCGATCATATCAATAGATTGCGCATTGTGCAAATGATTCACTAATTGTTCGTGCGGCGACTTTCAATAACTGAAGTCGATTAACAGATTTCATTTCTCTTTTACGCGATAGCAGCTGGGTTGTACACCACTGTCTAAAAATGATGCTGAGTTCCCTAATGTATTCCTCGTTTTAGCACATGACCACCAAATGACAATACCAACAATCGCGCATTAGCTGAACAGCACATCGCACAGCAGGTCACGTCCCATAGGTAGGACCAGAATCTGTCATAGCGCTTCAGCTTGAGATGCTTCATTATTACGAAAATATGGTACCACATTCCAGTCAGCACATAGCCGAACTTCATATCTAATAACACGTCAACACATAAGTACAAGAGACAAGACAGATGACGTCCAATCAGATTCTCACCGAAATTCGTCATCAAAGCCTTCAAACTTTAGGGTTTTGAGGGGATTTTCCGCCTGTTTCGCCCGTCCGCTGCGCGGCTTTTTCGCTGAGGACGACTGACTCGCGGCCGCTGCGGCCTTTCGCTGTTTCAGTCTCTCCTTCTCTATGATACCCGCACGTTTTCGCAACGACTTGGGCACGATATACTCCGGCACATGCTTCATGTGCTTCTGCACCTTCACCGTATGCAGTGCTTTGTCGTGCCGCAGCACCTGCAGGTCCCTTGGGTTCTCCTCAAAGTACGACTGGAGCCGCTTGGAGTTGAGTAGCTCCTGCTTTATCTCTTTGAGCCGCGCCTCTCGGATGGCGCGTTTGGTGACGGCACGCATGGCGTCCTGGGCCCGGTAGCGGAACCCCTCGATCTCCTCCATGCGGAACTGGTACGGCTTGAACAGGTGCGCCTCGCCCGGGAACATGGTGTGCAGCTTCTCCGTCACCTCGTCCAGCATCGGCTGCTCCTTGATGCTGACGAAGGACAGCGCAGAACCCTTGCTGTTACCGCGTGCCGTCCGACCGACGCGGTGAATGTAAGAGTCGACGTCCTGCGGGAAGTCAAAGTTGATGACATTCGAGACAAACTGGAAGTCGATGCCCCGCACCACTCCAGACTCCTTGTCCTGCTTGCGTTTTTTCTTGCTCGGCTCGCCAGCCTCGCCGCCCTTCTTGGTTCTCTTCTTCTGTTTGGTGTCTTCCTGCTCCTCGGCCGGCGGCTCCGGCTCGTCCAGGAACCTCTCGTCGGACGCGATGATGATATCGTACGCGCCGTCGTTGAACTGCGACAGGATGTGGCTCCGCGAATTCGCCGGCAGCTCCGAGCTCAGGGCGCACGTCGGGATGCCAAACTGCTCCAGATACAGCTTCAGCTTATAGCAGCGATCCACGGTGGCCACGAAGATGATCGTCTTTCCACGTACCAGTTTCAGTTTAAACAGGGTGTAGATGAGCACAAACTTGTCCTTTTCCTCGACCTTGAGGTGGTACTGCGACAGCTGGTTGGAGGCGGGCAGCTGCGGCTCCTCCAGTTTGAGCACCACCGGGTTATGCAGCAGCAGCTGGCGCAGCTCGCGCACCTCCTCCGACAGGGTGGCGCTCATCAGGATGGCCTGGCAGACGGCGGGCAGGTGGCGCGCCACCTGCTGCAGGTCGCCGCTGTGGCCGAACGTCAGCATCAGGTCCGCCTCGTCCACCACCAGAGTGCGCAGCGAACGCGACACGTCCAGGCTGCCCGACTGCAGGTGCGCCAGCACGCGCGACGGCGTGCCCACCACCACGTCCGGCCGGTGCTGCAGGATCGCCTTCTGCGCCGCCAGGTCCGCCTGAGTGCCGATGTTGGCGCAGCGCACCTCGCGCGAGCACGAGCTGGTCAGCGCCTCAAAGTGAGAACAGAGCTGCTGGCAGAGCTCCCGGGTGGGCGCCAGCACCAGAGCCTGCACCTCCTGGTGCGCGCACGACTTCTTGTTCTGCAGGATCATCTGAATCACGGGGATGGCAAAGGCGGCTGACTTGCCGGAGCCGGTCCGCGCCCGCGCCAGGATGTCCTTGCCCTCCAGGGCCAGGGGGATGGCTTTCTCCTGGATGAGGGTCGGTGTGTGCCATTTCTGGCGAGATATGGCCAGCAGAAGCCGGTCATCGAGCCCCATTTCGTGAAACTGAACAACTGGAGGATCTTCCTCCTCCATGGCTGTGATTCTTGTTATGATGTTATCCAGATGTTATGCAGCGCAGAGGTAACTGTAAATATGAGATAAAACAACTGATTTAATACCTAAAGCAGATTCACAAATATCAATCTGCTGCTGGAAATCACACATCGTTGTTTTACAATATGCTGCTAGTTATTTGGATGTTGGAAATGTAAGTCCACCCTGCACCCACACCAAGCCTAGACAGTCCTGCTCATAATTAGCCCATATTTGATATTGAACTAAATGGGCAAAAGACATGTAAACACATTGTTTCCTCTCGCCTTTGAATGAAGAAAATATTCGTTTTTTACATCACTTATCTGAACGTGCACTGAACTTGAGCTGAAAAAGGCTCAACTGAGCCTGGGCTTAGTTTAGGACAACTTTATCTTACATCAGAGGTTTAACAAATAGGTACCAACATGCTGCCAGGTTGACAAACATGCTGCAGAAAGGGGCAAATCAGAGGGGTAGGTAGAGAACTTGTTGATGCATTGTTCACTTCTTGAATTGCACTGCTAAAGATTGGAGCTGAAAGCTGGTCATTTATACCCTCCAAAACCCCCTAAATATTGACCAAAGCAACCAAATTTGCACAGGGGCGAGAACTCCAGGGGGCCCACCTAACTACCAAATTTGGTGTTTCTAGGTGCCATATGAGCCAATCGCGAGGGGGGTTGCATCAACCCCCCCCCCTGCCAGGCCGTGTTATGAAAAATGCCCTGCCAGGGCGAGGGTTAACACGCGCAGTGGAAGATGGGGGGGGGGGGGGCGGATTTCGCCCACCCGTCCTGTTTTCCGCCAATAACTCGCGCCGCAAACATAATATTAATGTGAAATTTTGGCTACCTGTCCAGAATTGAACTGTGGAACTTCTCGTGCAAGAAATAAGAAAATCGGGTCACAATATTTCTAGTAATAGCAGTGTAAAGTCAAACATCCTGCCGCCGCGGCCGGCGCTAGACGTTACGCGCCGCCTGAATTGTATGTAGACTGTGCCGGGGCGGGACGGTTCCGTCTTTACATGGCGCTCCTTACCACTGATTATATTCGATTCGCGTCAAATTTCGCGAGAAGACTAAGAAATGTACAGGCAATCTTATGGTCAAAGAATTTTGAAAATCGGCCGGTAACAACTTGAGTTATGAGTGTGTTAACACAAAATTGTGATTGCCGCGTTTCCCGCGTCGGCCGATCCCGCTTCAGCCGGCGACGTCTTACCCTTAGCAGGCTTCTATCTGCCATATTTATTGTTGGATTAACAAAAAATTCACCATACATACTCACAAATGTACATTCTTTCTTAGAGTGAAAGAAAAAAGAAAATCGGCCGGTAACTTTTTGAGTTATCGGCGTGTAAACGCAAAAAAGTCGCTCATATGGCAGATTTGACCACATTTGACCTCATTTGACCTTGAAGATATTGACCTAGGGTCATGAAATTCACACACAACAGAGTTCTCCTGGGCCTTCACCTACCCTCCAAATTTCGTCTTTCTAGCTCCAGTGGGAGCTGAGATCTTAGGGGGGGGGGGCGACATCCGCCCCCCCCCCCCTTCCACTGGGCGTAGTACTCGCAACCCTTCCACTGCGCGTGCTTTATCTAACTTCTATATGATTAAAGCTTCAAAAGGATTAATAAATTTGCACACTGATAATGGATGCATTTCATCTGATGCTCCAATGTTGCAATGACACAAAATTTCAGGAACATATACCAGAGACTCTGTATGGGAGCTTTATTGCCTATTTTGGGCAGATTTGATGCTAGATACGCCCAGGACTGATGCATACCATTTGGTGGAGTCCTAAGCACTGGTTGTCTTTTTTATCAGCATACTTTTTTTTAGCATACTGTGAGTGGTGGATGGAGCCTGACAAGGTGAGTTGATACCTCTACCAGCTGGCTTTTAATAACTTCTTGATTAAAGTCATGTGGTAACTGGTAATGCTGGGCAAATCCAGAATATCTGTTTGAGATGCTGTGAGTACGAATAGGTAGGCACTCTACTCTTCCCCCCCCCCCAAAAAAAAAAACAACAACAAAACTTCATTTAACTCTTCACTTGAAAGTTGTGCAATTTGAAACAGCTTCCCATAATGAAAATTACCTAATTGTCTGTCTATACCAGAAAAAAAAACGGCCAAATCTTGTTACTCTCGAGTCTCGGGCACTGTGAAAGGGGAAAACGGCCCAAATTTAAGTGCTATATGGGTCTGGACTTCTGGAGTGTGTCATCATTTCATAGCCAATAATTGTGAAGTGTCAGCTTCCATATTGACAAACAGATGTGGTGGCAGCATGCTAATAACATCAACACCAAACACCAATCTCAACCTATCACTGAAGATATCGGTAAATCTCCCATCATATGCCATGATGGTGCAAGACAAAATTAGGCAGAGGCCAGCTTTACCAACGGAAAAATAGCTTGAGCTGCCAACCGGATTTTTTGCCTTGAGACTGCTTCACATAAGGAGCGTAAATGTGATGGGCATTGTAAGTGGATGGGGCTTTACCATTTCAGTTTATGCTCTATGTGTTTAGCCGTCAGTATTTGGCAAGATAAGGTTAGATCTACAATTATGGCGCTGTTCATACAAATACGCAACAGCAAAAATTTAAGGTTGTAGGCTACGTTAGGTTGTAGGTTTGTAGGTTGTACGTTGGTTGATTTGTAGGTTGTTAGGTTGCAGGCCAACTGGTAAGTTGATAAGGTTAGGTCAGGTTTGATTGTTTTTTCCTTGTATTTGCGAGACATTTAAGTCTCAATTGGGAGTCCAAACTGAAAGCAAAAAAATCCGGTATTCTTATAGCAGGCGTCTCACATGCCGCCACCGGTTAGGGAAAAGTCGCTAGATTCGTCAGGTCTAGAGATATTTCTACCAATTCGCTTTATAGGGTAATTACATAGCGGTGATTTCAAAAACGGAGTCAGTTTTTTTTTTCTGAGGGGGGCAGGGGGGTACAACAGATAACTTGTTTCCCGGGAACGCCTGATCGGAGTCAGGTTTGCAAGGCTGTGTTGGAAGGCGTTCGAGTAGACAAGCCTAATGGCTAATTAGTAATGCGAATTATCATCGGATACTGGGGGGAGGGGGGCGTAGGGGGATTGCCCCTTGACCGATAGCTGGGGAACGGCTGATCGGAGCCAGGCTTGCAAGGCGACGTTGGAAAGCGGTCGAGTAGACAAGCCTAATTAGTAATGCAGACTATATCATCGGGATGCTGGCAGGGGGGGGGGAGTGCGTGGGGGGATTGCCCCTTGACCGATAGCTCGGGAACGGCTGATCGGAGCCAGGCTTGCAATGCGGTGTTGGAAAGCGTTCGAGTAGACAATCCTAATTAGTAATGCAAATTATCATCGGGATGCTGGCAGGGGGGGGGGAGTGCGTGGGGGGATTGCCCCTTGACCGATAGCCCGGGAACGGCTGATCGGAGCCAGGCATGCAAGGCGGCATTGGAAAGCGTTCGAGTAGACAAGCCTGATTAGTAATGCAAACTATCATCGGGATACTAGGGGGAGGGGTGCGTGGGGGGGTAGGTACTAATTTGGATTGTCTACTCGAACGCTTTTCAACGCCGCATTGCAAGCCTTGCTCCGATCAGCCGTCCCCGAGCTATCGGTCAGGGGGGCAATCCCCCACGCACCCCCCATATCCCGATGATAATTTGCATTACTAATTAGGATTGTCTACTCGACCGCTTTCCAACGCCGCATTGCAAGCCTGGCTCCGATCAGCCGTTCCCGAGCTATCGGTTAGGGGGGCAACCCCCCACGCACCCCCACCCCCCTCCCCCAGTATCCGATGATAATTCGCATTACTAATTAGCATTTAGGCTTGTCTACTCTAACGCTTTCCAACGCGGCCTTGCAAGCCCAACTCCGATCAGACGTTCCCAGGAAACAAGTTATCTGTTGTACCCCCTTGCCCCCCCTCAGAAAAAAACTGACTCCGTTTTTGAAATCACCGCTATGTAATTACCCTATATAGCAAATTGGTAGAAATATCTCTAGACCTGACGAATCTAGCGACTTTTCCCAAACCGGTGGCAGCATGTGAGACGCCTGCTATAAGAATACCAAAAATCCAGCAGATAGCTATTTTTCTGTTGGCAAAACTGGCCTCAGGACAAGTGTAAATCAATGCAATGTCATCAATCTAAGCATCTTCCGGTACCTCAAACTGGTCTAAATCATTTGAAAATAATTGACACTTCACCTTGCACTACCAGACTAGGTACATTACCTCGCAATGAAATTGTTTACGGCACGCGTAGCGACCACGTACAAGAAAGTTACGTCTCAGAAATACAATAAATGATTAAACTGCTCCTAATGCCCGCCATAACAATAAAAGCGACAGCGCAAGGGGAAATAACGTGTAAAACCACGGCGCACACGCGTAGTAGGGCGCAGCCATCTTTAAATTTAGACAAACTAATATTTTTCCAATAAGCTTCGTTATTGTTGTAAATTGCTATGCATCAAATTTAAAAAAATATACTGTATTCTTTTGCATTCATGAATAAAAAGTGAATAAGTTTTAATCTAGGTATTAGGTAATTAAATAACTCTTGAATCAATTTGGCTCCAAGAGATCTAAACTGCGCCACATTTGGCGACGGTTGTATTGTTTACGGCCAAAGAGTTGTGTTTGCTGGGTATTGTAAGGGACGCCGGTGAAAACAGGGCGCCGGAGGGCATATTTGTCACGTGACATTTTGAACTTCTCCCGCTTCATGGGCCTTCTCTATGCCAAACGTCACGTGTAAATTTCACGAACCTTGATCAAATCGCCCCAGGCGCCCTGTTTTCACCGTCGTCCATTGTAAGGTGGAAAGTGCGATTTTTTTGCTTCATTGAGCATAATCGAGAGGGTTTCATGATAATATAATAATCCAGTGTATTGAAGCACTACTCAAGCCGTTATTATGTGAAGGTTAAGTGGTAACCTCATCGCCTTCATGCCCTAACAAGGAACATACCTAGTTTACGTCAACGACGATTCCTGAAAGGATCTTTCTTCCAAATCTGTTAAACCTAGAAGTGCATCGCAATGCCTTCCAAGCTGAAGTACATTGAAGTGGAAAATTTCAAGTCGTACAAGGGTTTCAAGCAGATTGGTCCTTTGCTACCATTTACAGCCATCATTGGTCCCAATGGCTCAGGGAAGTCAAACTACATGGACGCCATCAGCTTTGTCATGGGGGAGAAAACAGGTCTCCTTCGTGTGAAGAGGCTCAGTGATCTCATTCATGGAGCCTCCATTGGACAGCCTGTATCAAGAACTGCTGGAGTGACTGCAGTTTTTGAGCTGGAAGATGGAACTGAGCGCAGGTTTGCCAGATACGTACAAGGCTCGTCATCTGATCATCGCATAGACAACAATGTTGTCAGCGTTGCTCAGTACATGAGTGAGTTGGAGAAGCTTGGAGTGAATGTGAAAGCCAAGAACTTCTTGGTTTTCCAAGGAGCTGTGGAATCCATAGCCATGAAAAATCCCAAAGAAAGAACTGCCCTGTTTGAAGAGATCAGTGGCTCAGGAGCAATGAAGGAAGAGTATGACAGACTGAAAGCAGAGATGGTGAAAGCTGAAGAAGACACTCAGCACACCTACCAGAAGAAGAAGGGCATAGCAGCTGAGAGGAAGGAGGCAAAAATGGAGAAGGATGAGGCAGAGAAGTATCAGAGATTCAAAGAGGAGCTGAATGACAAGCAGGCTGAGCTGCAGCTGTTCAGACTGTACCACAATGAAAGGGAGATAGAAGCAGCAGAGCTAGAAATAGCCAAAAAGAGGGCTGAGATTGCCAAGATTGAAAAGAAGAAGGAAAAGGCTGAAGATCACCTAAAAGAAAAGAAGAAAGAACATGGAAAGCTTCAAAGAGACACAGCTAAACTTGACCAGGAGGTGAAAGAGAAAGAGGTGGAGATCAACAAAAGAAGGCCCACATTCATCAAGGCCAAAGAACGAGTGACTCACATGCAGAAAAAAGTGGATGCAGCCACCAAGTCTTTGAATCAGGCCCGCAAAGCTCATGAGGCACACATGCAAGATATTCATGAGCTTGAGGAAGAAATGAGAGCGATTGACAAAAAACGAGCTGAGTATGAAGAAACTGTGTCAGGTGATTCTCAGAGCCAAGGGAAGTCTGTAAGCCTTGAGGAAGCTCAAGTTGCGGAGTATCATAGGCTGAAGGAGGATGCTGCAAAACGATCTGCAAGATATCTGCAGGATCTGGACTCGGTGAATCGGGAACAAAAGTCAGATCAAGATCGTCTCGACAATGAACTGAGAAAAAAGCAAGAGGTGGAAAATCGTCTGAAAACAAAAGGCCATGAACTGGAAGATGCCCAAAAGCGAATTGAGAAACTTGTGGAACACATCCGCTCCTCAGAAGCGTCTTTGGAGGAGCAGCGCCGTCTGCGGGAAGAACTGCAGTCTGAAGTTGGAACCAGCAAAGACCAGATCACTGACCTGCAGAGCAAACTTGAGTCGGTCACAGAACAACTGGGAGACGCCAGAGTGGACAAACATGAAGAGGCAAGACGGAAGAAAAAGCAGGAGATTGTGGAGAACTTCAAGCGACTGTTTCCTGGTGTATTTGATCGCATGATCAACATGTGCCAGCCCATCCACAAGAGGTACAATGTGGGCATTACCAAAGTTCTTGGCAAGTACATGGAGGCAATCGTTGTGGACACAGAGAAAACAGCACGACAATGCATCCAGTACCTGAAGGAGCAAATGCTTGATCCAGAAACGTTCCTACCACTGGACTACATCCAAGCCAAACCGCTGAAGGAACGTTTGCGCAACATCAGTGACCCAAAAAACGTGAAGCTGGTGTACGACGTGCTTCAGTACAATCCCCCTGATATCAAACGTGCCGTGGTGTTTGTCACAAACAACGCGCTGATCTCGGAAACTCCCGAAGATGCCATGAAGGTCGCTTACGAGATGGAGGACGGCCAGAGGTATGACGCCGTGGCTCTGGACGGCACGTTCTACCAAAAGTCTGGCATCATCTCTGGAGGCAGTCTGGACTTGGCTCGTAAAGCCAAACGTTGGGATGAGAAGCACATGAGCAATCTGAAGAACGAGAAAGAGCGCCTGCAAGAAGCACTGCGGGATGCGATGAAGAAATCTCGCAAAGAGTCTGAGCTGAACACCGTTGAGTCTCAGATCCGTGGTCTGGAGACTCGTCTGAGGTACGCTCGCACTGACAAAGAGAACACTGAAGGCAAGCAGATTCGGCAGCTCCAGCATGAACTGGAACAGCTGCGGAATCAACTAGAGACGTTTGCACCTCGCATCCACGAGATCGAGCGAACGATGCGAAAGAGAGACGTGGACATTCAGGAGATCAAGGAGAACATGAACTCGGTCGAGGATGTGGTGTTCTCCGGCTTCTGTCAGGCGATCGGTGTGCAGAATATTCGCCAGTACGAAGAGCGGGAGCTGCGTTCACAGACCGAGAAAGCCAAGCGACGGCTGGAGTTCGAGGATCAGAAGAACAGAATCACCAACCAGCTCGAGTTCGAACGGTCTCGCGACACGGAGAACAACGTGCGGCGCTGGGAGAAGTCCGTCGCCGACGACGAGGAAGAGTTGGAGCGCTGCAAGTTGGCCGAACAGAAACAAATGGCTGCCATCGACAAAGACATGCGCGAGCTAGACAAGCTGAAATCTGAGAAGCTCGGCATGAGGCAAGAGGCCGAAGAGAAAGAGGAAGAAATCAACAAGGCTCGACGCGAAGTGGGCACGATCGCCAAAGAGATGCAGGGAGTTCAAAAGCAGATAAACGCTCTGGATGCCAAGGCTGAGCAGAAACGCAGTGAGAGACATTCCATCTTGAAACAATGTAAGATGGAGAACATCATCATCCCGACGTCAAGAGGCTCGTTGGATGACCTGGAAGGTCCCGACGAAGGAGACTCGGAAACGCCTGGAGGAGGACCTTCTCAGGCCACGACATCAATCACCGAGCGAGCTGCAAGAATTGTGGTGGATTACTCGAGGCTAGACGAATCCTTCTTCGACCTTGATGACGACGAAGTTCGAAAGGCTGAAAACAAGCTGGGCAAGCAGATCAACGAGCTGAGCTCGATGCTGCAGAAGATCCAAATGCCCAATATGCGCGCCATGCAGAAACTGGACATGGCCAGGGAGAAGCTGCAGGAGACGAACGAAGAGTTCGACTCTGCTAGACGCCGTGCCAAAAAGTCCAAGCAGGCGTTTGAGCGGGTCAAGAAGGAGCGGCACGACCGGTTCATGAGCTGCTTCGAGCACGTGGCTAACGAGATCGACGGCATCTACAAGGCGCTGGCGCAGAACCAGTCTGCGCAGGCGTTCCTCGGCCCGGAGAATCCCGAGGAGCCCTACCTGGACGGCATCAACTACAACTGCGTGGCGCCCGGGAAGCGGTTCCAGCCCATGTCGAACCTCTCGGGAGGAGAGAAGACTGTGGCGGCGCTGGCGCTGCTGTTCGCCATCCACAGCTTCCAGCCGGCGCCGTTCTTCGTGCTTGACGAGATCGACGCGGCGCTGGACAACACCAACATCGGCAAGGTGGCCGGCTACATCCGCAGCCAGACTGCCACCAGGCTCCAGGTCAGTCGCAGCGCGCTGCTACACCAATTGACAAAACGCTCAATAGTTTCAATAGCTGACGTACTTTTAACCGTTTTCTATTGTTCCGGTGGTCTTACAAGTAAAAATTTGGTTTGATTTTGTGATTTTGTGCGATATTAATTTACCTGTAGTTTTGAACCTTAGGATGGTGTGACAATGCTCTATCTTGCCCTTTGTTAGTTGTTTTAATCCTAAAATGTATTGCCACCATTCCACTTTTTGGTCTTGATTAGTAGATGATTCTTATTTTAAGATATTTATAACAGCATTGATACAGGCTATCACTGGTTGTGCTCTCTCAGATACCTTGTACTATTGGAGTAACTGCATGTGTAACTACACTTTAGGCTCTTACAAATTTCCATTGCTTCACCGGACAGCGGTGTGACACTCGTCTCGCACTGTTTCTGCAGGTTCTGGTGATCTCGCTGAAGGAGGAGTTCTACAGCCACGCGGACGCGCTGATCGGCATCTGTCCCGACGACGGCGAGTGTCTGGAGAGTCGGGTGCTGACGCTGCGCCTCACCGACTACTCCGACCACCTGGAGTCGGAGCCGGCGCAGGGCGCGCCGCGCCGCTGACGGACGCTGCTGCGCCGCCGCCAGCCGCTGGTGTGCGCTCCCGCCCGCACAGCCGAGCGGTCTCTGTCCGGTGGACGGCCGTCGAGTCGCCGTCGTCCGCGCAGTGCCGGTGAGGTGACGCTGACGCAGTACAGACTGCCACCAGGCCGGGACGCGGCCTCCCGACTGCGAGACACTACCGGGCCGGCTACACACCGCACCCGGGGTCTGTACGTGTCGGGATG